TACCGCTTTTCGTCTTTAAAGTACCGCTTTTCGTCTTTTTTATTCATTAGCTGTTTCTATGCATATTACAAAAGACCAAGCCATATGTATGTTTTACTACGTAGAATATACACATGAAAACGTCACCAAATACAGAAATATGCTTGAATCTCAGAACTATGAAATTTGTTTTAATACCAATGAATGTGAACCAATCCTTGTAATGAAACAACGTATGTTAGGTAATCCAGTTACCTACCGTAAGTATTTGGATGTAGTTAAAGAAAAAGAAGAAACAGGTGTTAAGCGTAAGAAGTCTGAGCTTGGTATGCTTAAAGTGACTAAGCGTGATTTACACAAAACTAAAATTTTTATCTAAGTGACCGAATCTCAAGTTATCCAGTTTGTAAACAGCGTTTACACTGTGAATGACTTTAGCAATCCAGAAATATATCAAGAAAAATTAACTAGTACAAACGATATCTTTGAAACAGTAAACGAAAATTCAACGGTCCTTAATAACAAAACATTACTTGCATTTACTCGTTGGTGTTCGGGCAACAGGTTAAAATTCTTAAATGCCGTAGAAGATAAAAATTATGGAGCTAGAAAAAGAAATCTTTTTGTGATGGATAAAATTTACCATGGTAAAAAAAAACTACATAAATTGCAAAGTAATGTGCAAATCTAATATTTCTCTTTGGTAGACTGTCTAATTACATCAATTACGGAATATCTACCAAATTACCAGCAATCATTGAAAGCTTTGCAAAATAATGCATTTGAAATTGTAGGATACGTTCGAAAGTCTCCTACTGCGGATATTTTGGATAACCGTGTGGAGCTATTGCAGCAAATGGTAGACAATTTGCGTTCCAGATCTTTTGCAACTCGTATTTTTGTGTCTTCAAGCTCAAGGGCTTCAACAGCTTTTGCAGAGCGAGACCTTAACGTGGACCAAAATATATACCAACAATTAGATAAAGTAGATGGAACTACTCAGGGTAAAAATTCATTAAATAAGTGCATATTCTAAGAAAAGATCACTAACAGTAAATTCTTTTGATTCATTTTAGATTTCATTAAATACTTAAACGCATCCAGACATTCAATTTGTCTTGCGGTATTAGATTTTGCTGGACTTTCCAGTCGATCCCATCACGTCCAAGAATTGTTGAAAGATTATCCTGTAATCAAAAAAGTCGCTGTGGATACATTCATGTTTTCAAATGAACTGTTCATTTATGATACCCGTGATTTGAAGGCAAATACCAATTTATTAGAAAAATTTGATTGTAGATACAAATTAATGCAGAGATCAAAATAAATAACACCAAAAATAAAATATATCAATAATTGATAGTCTTTCAACCCATCTTAGGGGTAATTGGAAGTCATACTTATCCCAATCATTGTTGCCTCCGTTCCAGGTTCCGATGAGGTGGTAAAGGCTCTTTCGTGCCACGCTTTATTTTCAGATAACATATAATAAAAAAAATTTTTTTTTAATTCCTATTTCTTTAGATCTTTTTCGCGCCGCGCATCGTGGTAATAATATGTCCAATGATCAATCTGAACAATTGTTTACAAGAGAACAAGTCGAACAAATCATTGAGGAAATGTCAAGAAAAATCAATCTTGACAGATCAGGTGAAGATCCTACAAACCTTCCAAACGAAATCTTGGAAGAACTGGAGAACAGTTCGTCCATCAATTTACAGAAAAACATCAAAGAATTTGTTAAGAGCCTTCCAAAGTACGAAGGTAGTGAATGGACCAACAATGAGATCTTCAACAAAGAGTTCCACAGAGAGCTTAAAAGGAAAACTGTGGATGCCCTCCAAAGTACAAACGCAGTATACAAGGGAGCTGATCGACTCATCATCGCAGGAAGAGCAGCAACTGGCCTTTACGAAGAATGTCAACAATTTCTTGAATCAGGAGGAAGCGAAGAACAATTCTTTCACATTATGGAAGGCATCAGACAACTCGCAGTTTACTCATACGCCACGGGTAAGGCCACCAAAAGTGAAGCTAGGACAATGGCGATCAAGGCGCTCAGGCTCCCCGATAGCGTCAAACACTTGGAAGAAGAACCTAGTGACAAGGCCTTGGCCTTGGGCAGAGAAGAGGTTGAAAGAATTTTTCAAGCCAGGTACGAACAGTCCATCCTCAGAAATGCAGTGGGACGACAACAATCAATTAACAACAATAACAGAGGATTTGGACGTCAACAGAGATATATCAGGGGCCGTGGAACCTTCCACAGGTCTTTTTTTTGGACGCAGCAGGGCCAAATACACACGGAGGCCCAAAGCTCCAGTCAACCCCAATAATACCGCCATCAACGCCAGCGCCTTTCTCCACGACAACGGCGCATTACGTCATACCGAGCGATGGTATATTACCAGGGGGTCGTCTACAACGTTTTTCAGAACAATGGAAACGGACAATACTTCATTCATGGCCTGTGTCAGTAGTAACACAAGGATATCAACTTCAGTGGAACCACAAACCTCGACCATGGAAATATACTCCGATGAAGTTCACGGAAGAGGAGCAAGTAGCAGTGGACGAAGCAGTGAAGAAATTTCTGAACTCAGGCATAATCGAGCGTTCCCCGTCTCAGTGCAAGAGCTACCTATCGAAATTCTTTACTGTGAAAGAGCCAAACAAACGCAGGCCGATATTGGATTGCACGAGCTTGAACAAGTACATCCAATGCAATCACTTCAAAATGGAAGGTGTACCAGCCTT